CCCTTCCAACCCAAACCATACTGTGTTTCTATGATATTATGCAGCATTTTTGAAGTCATATTAACAAATTCACATGCCTCAATTCCTTTATCTCTTTTGAATGAGTACTTACCTGGCCCAACTCCAAAGACAACTGCAAACAAGATAATCAGACAAAGGCTGCAGTATGGCATCCAGAAATACCAGTCCTGGGAAAATAAAACAAAACAAAACAAACAAAACCCATAACAAACTTCTAGGTGAAATCTGTTAATTCTGTAGGTGAGAAATGCTGCTTGTTTTACAACATTGTCAATTCAAGAAAAAATACACACTATGTGGGAACTGGCAGAGAAATGTGAGTGCTTTTTCCTGTTGATGGTGCAGTGAGGTTTTTGTTAGGTGAGCAGAGAGGCAGGTTTGCTAATGCAGAGCAGCTGTCAAGCTTGGAAGCCTTCAATTAAAGCAAGTCTGAATGGTACTTTTCCTCCCTTTCCTCCTTTCTTCTTGGCCCCACGGTGCTTCCCCCACCCCTTAGAGATATGGGAAGGCTAAATCATATCTTTCTTCACTTTTGTTAAATGATAGTTTCAGTAACTGGTACTGAAAAGGAACTTCCCAGGATCTTAGTCAAGAAGGTATGAGAATGCTTTAGGAAAAAATTCTTTCTCCTATGTTTGAGAAGCCTCATGAATGAAACAAAAATAGAAGTTTGCTGCCACCTTGCTTCGAGGCTAATTTTACAGTACTAGCTATAGAGTAGGTCTTATATGAATAGTGGTAATCCGGGAGAGTTGCTTCTGAAGAAGCTACAGCAATGACTCAGTGTTATAGTGGTGAACTGCTTTCATCTGTGAACAGATGTGTGTATTTCCAGTATCTTCTGCAGCAAAGTTAAATTTCAAATTAACTGATGACAAGAGTCTGGGTTTTTGTTGTTACATGTTAAAAACTGCGTTAATAGAAAGGGCCATTTTCCTAGGACTGTCTTTTGATCTGTGCTGGCTAGTGTTTGGTGCTTGCTATCTGAAGAAATCAGGAATCAGTGCTAGTCTCCCAGTGGTTTATGTGCTCCTTGCTGAGCTCATGGGATCGTGTTGAAAGGAAGGCAGGAGTACAAGTATTTGCTGAGAGGGGGTTTAACCCTATGTATGGACAAGCTTCATCTTTAGGATATTCCCTTCCCAGAGGGTAAGCTGTTAACACAGAAGTTATTTTGGCCCTTCTAAGCCTCACTTTCCTTTCTCAGTAGCATGGTCCTGCCTGTGAGCGAAGGTTAGAAATAGAATAGATAGAGAAATCTGCCATGAGAAGAGTTTCCTTACCTGTAGGGAGAGGGTCACAGTGATAGCAGCTAGCAGCGAACCCATGATCCAATAGCCTCCTCTTAGGAGCACTTTCCTGCCCAGTCGCTCAATGATGGAGCTCTGAAGGACAGAAATCACACTAGTATCAATGCCAGAAGAGCAAATTGTAACCCATTCCCATAGCAAAGTGACTTACACAGACTACAGCAGCTACGAGTTCGGAGAGTCCAACAGAGAGGGTCATGTAGGAGATCATTCTTTCATCAAAGCCGGCTGCCTGGAGGACTTCAAAAGTATAAAAATAAATCTGGAAAAAACCCCATAAAAGTGTAAGACAAGAAAATAACTGATTTCTTACCCATACCTGTGTGACACTGTCCTAGGTAGGAGCTGCTAACCAAGGTGCGTGCAACAGCCTTGTACTGAGCTAGAATTCTGCATTCTTATTCACTTCACTGGCTGACAAAAACGTTATAAGATGCAATGAATTAATTAATTTTATAAAAGATAAAATACTGTGATAAAAGGACCTCCAGCTACCACAATGTAATTAGGTTTGCAGAGTCCTGATTTAGGTGCTTCCAGAGACAGCCAGGTATATTGTTTCTTCTGGAGCCCATCCAAAATCATTGTAGGGTATTCTCAACATGGGTTATGGAGTCGTGAGGGGGTAAACCAAGCTTCTTTCTTTTCAAGTATATCTGCTGCTGTTTGGAGATAATGCTGAGATGACAAAGATTCCATTTTAAGCTATGTTAGACTCAGCTGTGTATTTATTTCCTTTACGGATGTTACTGCATCATGAAGTTAGAGGTAGAAGAATCATGCAGGCAAAGCTGTGGCTTCAAAACTGTCCCAGAAAAGTGCTGATGCAAGGAAGAGAGGGAGAACTGCAGAAGCTGCGAGAACAGTGAGCATGCTTGTTAATTATTTTTGAAGGTACAGTGAGCATACTGCCGTTCCAACATTTTGGATGGTAAGAGTGGGGAGGAGGGCAAACAGCAGCAGTTGCAGGGTGCAGTAACACAACTACACTGCAGATTTTGCCAACATAAGGTGGGCTCGTTTGTAAGAGTGAGTTCTGGAGCCTTGTAATGGCATCCCAAAATGGCTGTTAAATAAGACTAACTACCAAGGAAGGTAACTCCAACAAGGACCAAGAGCTGGGCAGAGGGATGTCACATGAAGAGCCTGGCCAAGCTTTGCAGACTGCTAGTACCCTGTAGGAGGTCTGGACGACAGCAAGTTGTGGCCTGAAAGCCTGAGAAACATGGAGTGAGCTCCTGGGAGCTGTGATGTCTCCTTTAAGATTGTCAGTAAGTGTTTTGAGACTTTATGGGGGAAATACACTCAACTGCATTGATGCCACATAGCTGAACTGTGGCGGTCAGAATAACTATCATGTACAGCTGCCAACGGAAAGCTTGTTCTTTCATTAGCTCCAGGACACTCAAGATCTTGGTGTTTTTCATTGTTGCCTTCTCTTTCATGATGTCATCAATCTCTGCTTGGTGATGGCCTTCACCCCAAAGCTGCCTTATGGCTGTAGATGAGAAGGAGAGTGAGACCTGCCATGTTAATTCATCTCTGTTGATTGTTGCCTAAGGAGTTTGTTGAGTAGGTGATGTCGTGTCTGGCAGCACAGCATGCATGGGCTGTGGTGGGAGGCAGAGATGTCTTATAGGGTCTTCCAGAGCCCTGGTCCCCTCCTGCACAGAGGGACCTGTTCTGACAGAGGGGCCTAGTGGAGTGCACAGTGACTCCCTTCCTGCTCATGGGTGCTTCTTTTCCCCATTCCTCCACTCAGGGTATGAGTGCGGTATACAGCCAACAACCAGAGCTAAGGGGTACGCTGTGAAGCCCTGCGGTGCAAACAGCCATTTACCACATATCATGTGTCTCATATCATGTACCATTTATCATTTATCATCAGACTGACAGTGCAGGTGGTGTCAGCTGAATGTGAAAGATTTTGTAATACAAAACTGTAGAGAGAAGTATTTTCATGTTCTATTTGAGGACTACAACAAAAATATACTTAGTAGGTATTCAGGGAGTCATCTTGGAAATGATCAGGGAAAACTTTGTCCTGTTTAATTTTTTCTATATGGGGAGAGCAAGCATCACAAAACAATTGAAAGTCAGGTGAGGAGCAGGAACCTGGAGCCCTCAGTTACCTTTTCTGCAACCTTCCTGGTCTCCTTTATGCATGAGGAGATACGGTGGGGACTCAGGGAAGAAGGGCAGAGTGACCAGCTGGACCAGCGCTGGAAGTCCACAGGAGGCCATCAGCATGGGCCACAGGGACTGGCTGCCCAGCAGCTCCCTGGAAGGGATAAAACGTGTGTAGAGTTTATTGCAGTTTATTGCACTGGTTTGGAGGAGAGAAAGGAATGGATAGAAAAGCAAAGGAATAAGCAAACGGTAGAGGGGATACAGAAATGAATTGGGTAGGAAATCAATTGTATTATACCTTTGTCCTGAAATTTGCCCTACAGCTTTTCCCAGTGACCAAAAGAAAGAGGAAGTAGAGTTTGCAAATCCACGTAGCTTCTTAGGGGAAATTTCCCCAACATATTGATGATGTAGAGGAACACAAAGACCTTGAGGTGAGGAGAGAAATATGGGGGAGGAGAAAGAAGATATTCATAACCATTGGAAATAAAATTGCATGTAAATAATTAGGCATTATGGAATATAGCTGCCTTATGCACCAAATTGTTTCTCATATCTCAACACACATATGAGATTTTTCAGTACTAGATTTTCTAACCCTTTCTACAAAAGTGTTTGCACAGTGCAGTTTCCTGATCTTAAAAAATGTCCGCTTTTCACTTTGGGGTGCAAGTGTAGCCTTGTCATAGTTATCTCTTGTGAGTCTTAGCATATTTTAAAGGACACAGTATGCAAGTGCTGAATAACTAAACACTCTGCAGTAATATTTAATGTGCTTGTAGTTAACCCTCATAATCTCAACCTTTTCTGACACAATGCTATAGAAGAGCTGTATAGCAGATCCCTAGCAAATTAAAATACACAGTGCTATATTCAATATTGATTGGATATGAACTGAGGGGAGACACACTAATACTTTTCCACTGTCCAGCAATAATTTTGGTGACTTCAGGCAAAGGTGATATTTCCAGCTATTAGTGAAGTACTTAATAACTCAGACATGCTGAAAACTAGTCTGGGAACAAGAGCTTTTTCTCTATATGGTGGTCACAGCCCCTTTTATCTGTTTTAAAAGCAACATGTTTTCTTGGTTTTCTATGATGGCAAAGCAATAGGGATAATCTCTTTAACAAAAAATAGGTCTTTGTATGAGGCATCACACAGGTGATCTATAGATCACAGAAGGGTGGGTGGGTAGGTAGTTCTCAAAATACAACTGTAGTTATTCAATACAACTCTATGTCAGAGAAGCAATGTACAAAATCTGGTTATTTGAAAAATAGACATTAATTTCTAATGAAGTAAGTTTAAATAGACCTCTCTGTGAATATTCAAACTGAAAGGAAAAGCAACTTTTTGTGTAGGAGACAAATACAAGTCATACTGATAGCAGCACAGGATGTTTTCGCTGCATGTGGTCTACCTGCCAGGAGTGATTTTGCTTGATTATCCCCAGCTCTTTGTACTAAACCCAGGGACTTACTGCTTTCAAAAAGATTGTAAAACATACCTGAAAGATGTTCAGAGTCAAAATTAAATGGCTATGGCTTTGAACAGCCTGGTTCTCTGGAGCCTTATGAGAATACAAGCTTTAAACTGTATACCATATAATTTCCAGTACAGTTAAACAATATTAAAATAATAATATAAATATTTTTCCATCAGAAAAAAACCCTTATTTCATATTGTATCAAAACATTCCTGATGGCTCTCCATATTTATGCACTCATGAAAGCTGAATTTCATACGGTATCAGTGAAATTAGTAGCAATTATGCTCTTTATTGCTGGGTGTTATAGAAAATCTTCTGACAAGGGACCACTATCTTTAATACTTTGTTGTCATTGTGAAATATTATTATTTACTTTGAATAGAGATATAAATTCTGTGAGAGTCTGCTGACCTTGGGGGAAATCACTTACCTGCACTTACTCCACACATGAAGCGTCCAATTAGAATCATCTCAAAGGACCGGGCTATTTTACTGCAGCCCATGATAGATGCTGCCACTATCATGAGCAGATTGTTGCACAGAAGACATTTCTTTCTGTCAGTGCAAGAAATTAAAAAGAAGTTTTGTGAATCAGAATGGAAACATCACTTAAGCACCTGGCATGTAGGATGTCTTGGGTGGAATTCATAGGATCATAGAATCATGGAATGGTTTGGGTTGGAAGGGACCTTAAAGACCATCCAGTTCCAACCCCCCTGCCATGGGCAGGGACACCTTCCACTAGACCAGGTTGCTCCAAGCCTCATCCAGCCTGGCCTTGGACACTTCCAGGGATGGGGCATCCACAGCTTCTCTGGGCAACCTGGTCCAGTGCCTCCCCACCCTCTCCAGGAAGAACTTCTTCCTGGTCCCTAATCTAAACCTCCCCACTTTCAATTTAAACCTGTTACCCCTTGTCCTGTCACTACAAGCAATTGTCTTGCTAGTGTTGTGAAATTTTTCATATGTGGTCCTGGACAAAATAAGCCTTTCTACACTGTTGGCATGGGGTGTTCTGGACTCACACTGTGCCTTGACACACAGATAGACCTGGGAGTCTGGGAATGCTTCGGGGTTTTGTAGTGGAGAAAAGTGTTAAAGCTTTTCTGCACTTGAAAATCCATCATGAAACACACTGATGTAGCACTTAGGAGCATCTCAATGATGCTATATTTTGAATAACACCTCCAAGAAACCCATTCTGTCTTCATCCATGGGGCTGCCTTCCCTCCTTGATGAGACTAACCCAACCTGATTAACTGCATCTGATGTGACAGGCTGGCAGCACAGCTGATTACCCCATGACACTGGAATAGGGCAAGAAGCAGCAGAATCTGTTGACACCACTTCTAAGCTGGTTGTATTACAGCCAACTAAGCCTAAAAGTCTGTCTCACATTTAAAACCTCAACTGTCATTTCCTTAAGCTAAAATTCAATTGACAAATAGTCTTTAAACATACGTACTTGCCATACTTGACAGTCAGGTATCTACTTCCTGAGGAACCCAAGAGACCTCCTATACCAAAGATGGACACAGTGATAGACCACAGGAACAAGAGGTTATCCTGATGGATGGGGTAACCATATCGCTCCAGCCAAGTTTCATTGATGAAAGCCTTAACATGCTGAGGCAGAAAAAATAACTTTTATTAACAGTAACTGTGACTTCAGTGTATGTATTTTGCTATATTTAGAACAGAATTTTGTTGCTTCAGCTAAAGTCATGATTTCATATAGGCTGTAAAAGCGTGCATGAGCTAATAGACATAATGTAATAGAGCATGACATGTTCATTTTGCCATCAAAAGGAGTTCATGCTTTGGTTTTTTGTTCTTGAGATCTGAAGAACTGAGTCACAGACTTGTAGTGAAGAATAATGTCAAATGAGACCGCTGAAGTAGGCACATGCTGTCGGTTTATAGGGGAAACAGATGCCACCTCAGTCAGTGTGCATTTTCTGAGCAATTTTCAACACTTGAACATATTCAGCTTTACATGATAGCATAGTAATGGGAATGAACCATGAGAGGAGAATACTGTTAACCAGAGTGTCAGGTGCGACTCTGCCTACCTGAGACATGTAGGTGATAGTAGAAATTTGAAAGCCAATTTGGAATGTTCCACCGATCCCCAGGACAGTGATCATTTGAAAGAGCCCCTGGTACTGTACCTGCAGAGGTAAAACAAAAACTTCTTAAGCTTGTAGTCACATCAGGCTTTTCTTGGAATGTGTCTTTCATTCTCCAGAAGCATCTCATTTGTTCAAGGGATTTGTAGATAGGCATGTTCCCTCTGCTTGCCCTGATGTGAAGTGTACATCCCTACATCCAACTCAAGGAAACGCAGCCTTTAGCTATGGAAATCACTACATTTCCCTCCCCTCCTCAAACATCAGTCACCTGAGTAGCAAGATGAAGGTCATTCCACACTCCAGGGCTGAAACATGTGACAGTGGTTTTGGGGAGAGAGGTGTTACTTTCCCCTCTGCTACCTGGACAGTGCCAGACTACCTGCAGCTCAGTCCTGCGTCCACAGCAGTGACCAGGCCCTCTGTACCCAGACCTCTCTTATCTGAGAGAGCAGCTGCTGTGCTAGCTACCCTGCGGGCCCTTGAATAGTGGGCAGTGATCCCTCAACTCGAGTTTTGTGGCAAATCACACACAGCAGCTAAAAATTAAAAAGAAACCCCAAGTCTGAAATTGGGGGCAAAAAACCCAGAGTGGTGTTGCTTGTAGCATGCTTTTACACCCAGATTCCTGTAGGTGGCAGTCCTTGGAAATCGGTGGGTTTTTACCTAGATGGAGAGGAGGGAACAGCAAGTTAAAGTTTTGGAATAGAAGTTTCCTTCTGCAATGGTTCTGCTCAAGATGTGCTGTAGGAGAGAAGCGTAATTTTTAGCTCTTATCCCCATCAACAGTTCTGAACTCTTGTCCCACCTGCCTGTCTCAAGCAGAGTGGTCGTCTTAATCGCTTGGGAGCTTTGAGAATAGGCATTCCACTTTGATTTCTTTTCTGACATTTTTTCTACTTGAAATACACAACCACCACTGCACTTAGGTTTACTCTACAGCATCTTTGCAGTGGGACTGAGTGAATATGTCGTGAATATCAACAGCCTTTCAGAGGTGCCCCACTATATTCCTCTTTCATGGGTGAGATGTTACGTGCACGCAGCAGGAGCTGAGAGCTCTTTCTCAAAGAGGCTTTGTCCAGTTTGGAGGTGCCTCATTTGGAGGTGTGAGGCAGCAACTCCAGGTTCAAGGCTCAGCCATAGCCAGGATACAAATGCTGCAGGCTCCCACAAACATCTCTGTCAAGATGCTACATCTGCCAACATCCAGTTCTTTTCCCTGCCTTTCAAAACCTCTGCCTGCCATCTCTTGCACTAAGCAATTAGTGATATATTGAACAAACTCTTTTTTTCTCAGCAGCTAAGCAAAACAAATTATTCTTGAAGGTAAGTAGATATATTCCAGTAAATGAAAACACTTAAGAAACATTAACATATTGATAAAAATATGACAAAGATGAATGGCAGAGCATATGAAGTGCAAACATCTGGAATACCTCAAAATGGTAGGCAGAAGCACTTTTGAGATACTTTTAGTGAATAGGAGCCTTGTTGTTTGTATTGAGATACTGATTTTTCTTCTTTGAAACACTAGCAGCATACAAAGATGTCACAGATGTAGATACCCCACCAAGTACTTACAAGGTTCGAAAGGAAGCTGGTCATCTCTGGATAGGGGCTGGTTTTCCAGTGTGTGGTGTGCCTTTGTCATCACAGGCTCTGTGTCTCTGTCTCCTGCCTGCTGGTATGACAGTGGGCATTTGGCTTCAAGGACCAGAGTTAAATTTTTACTATTTTGTCTTCCCTCACTTATATTTACTTAAGCTGGCCAAAGTTAACACCGCTGGATTAAATATTTCAGGAAAAAATTGCATCTAGTCCAGTGTGTAGGTGAAAAGTTTCAAAGCAGAAGTTTGCACCTGGGAGGTAGCAAGGGCTTTGGAGAGGGAAAGGAGAACAGTTCAGGCAAAAAAATCTAAATTTTTCCCAGGACAGTTAAATACTTTACTTCTATGATACAGACTGAGGAGTGTCTCTGCCATCATCTGCACAAAGCAAAAAGCAGTTGGCACAAGCTCTCCTGACAATAACAGCTACCGAAGCCATAACATTTACTGAACAGAATCTCCTTCGAACAGATACAAGCATAACCCTGACACAGTAACTGTGATACTCCTGCTTGTATTCAGTTCTCTGGGATGCAGCTGCAGGCTTGTAGCAGTGATTTTGGCCTAGATTCATGGGCCTGTACTGAAATAAGAAAGGCTGGATGGCATCTAGATGTCCACCTTGTTCTTATACATGTCAGTCACAGCAATGATGCTGAAGCAGTACTACAAAGATGAGAAAGCTAAAAGGAAAAAGTCTAGCTCACTTGTTTTATCTGTCCTTTTGAGTAAAAGATAGGCAGAATGGGTAGTCAAAATAACTTGAGATGTTGCTTGCAGAAGTACAATAGAGAGAGGCCTTGGCATGGGGTTAAAACAACAGGGAAACATTAATATTGGCGGGTTAATGATATGCTGTCTGGTTTATCAGTAACTGCAAGAGAAGTAGCAGTAGTGTGTGTTTGGGAGAACAGGCCTCCTGAGGTTTGGCACATTGGATTTGTGCTACCTGTGAGGATGAATGATGGAGATTGAAAGTTTCCTTATGCTGTGAAGGAGTGAAGGTGCCCAGCAAGACTGCCTGTGAAGGACTGACTTCTTTCAGGACACACTGCAGCTAAATCTGAGTGAGCCTGGCTGGACATCGTAAGTGAGGGACAGAGGGATCCAAGGTTCATGCTTTTAAACCTGGTGTGGTGCTGTGACAGGGGTGAACACTCCCTCTGCAATGTTCTATCTGTGCTTCTGCTGCCACGGGTTCCTGCCAAAGGACCAGCAAAAACAAAGTGACACTGGCCAAGATGACAACAGAGGATTCTCCCTTCAGTATGTGCAGAAGGCTTAGGAGTCCTGAAAAGAAGATTATGAAAAAGAGAAAGAGGAGAGCAAAATCAGAGAGAAGGAACTGACAAATGAAGTAGAAGTTACCACAGCAGAATGCACTATTGATCTGGTACAGTGCCAATAATAACACTGATCCTAACTTGTATTTTTCCATATGTCTATCTAGTTAGCTACGCCATGGCTTTAATGGCTGTTCAGCACAGTTCAGAAGGACTATCACTTGAAATTGCACCACACTGTGAAATCTGTGCAAACTGGGAAAAGAACAGCATGGAAGACATGTCATATATGTGTTCCCTTTGGTCTCACGCTGTTCTTATTTTCAAACAGGAAACTCAGACATTAGAAATTCCCCTTTACAACATTATCAGGGAAGCTGCAAATTGTATAGAAGGACTGCCTCAGAGGGGATGGGGGAAGAGGGCATGGTGGCAAAAAGAAGCGTAAGCCTTCATCCTGGATATGGGCAGCACCTTGTCTTTTGGAATCGATGATGTCTGGGGGCACAGGGGTTTTTGTGGGCAGGTTAACGTACACAAGTCAGTTGGTCCCCCAATGTTACTGCAGAATAAATGTCCATAATTCAAAACTTCTCTTCTTAAAGAACGTGGTGCATTTATAAATCACTTTTTGACAGCTCAATAGGGAATGCCAGTTTTCCAAATAAAGAGTGGTAGATGGAGGGGAAAACCATCCAAAGCCAAATCAGCAGCCAGCTGATGTTCAGGAATAAATCTCATGACTGCTTGACTCTCACCCAAATACAACTTATTTTATAGTGTCTGCAAGTTTAAACTGTAGAATTTTCTTACGGACACCCAAAGGTTGCTTTAGTGCATGAAGAGGGGAAGATACCCAACTGCATTATTGCCAAAGAATTGCAGTTGTGATCACAGTAATTGAAATGCACAGCTGCCAGCAGAGTTTGGTCTCCCATCACTTCCAGCTCACTTAGGATTTTGACATCTCCCACCACTGCCTTTTGGTTTGCAGATCACCTGCTTCTGCCTGGTGGTCTTCGTCACCCCCCAGTTTCTTCATAGCTGTGCAGAACAAAGAGGAAAGCTTGATACAGTGGTACTATTCCTGTATCATGATATCTGTACATGCAGATTTATATAGATTATTAATTAGTTATTCCCCTTGGGTTTCAGGCATCATGATTATTAACAAGCATGGAATGAGAACACCCGCGAGAGGTGTTTCTATCCTGTGTTCACAATCTTGCAGAAAATAAGGTCCTATCTCATAGATGTTAGTGTATAAAACTTAACATAGTTGTCAAAACATCAA